CACTCCGCGGCAGCCACTGTGTCCCGTCGCAGATGCCGGGTGAATTTGCGAAAATTCCACAACCTATCCTGGATACTCGGCCATTTGGCCTCGCATACCCCAACCCGCGGCACGTGCAGAGGCAGCGCAGCATCCCGACAACCATCCAGCATACCTTTCAGCAGTTTTCGCGCATCGTCCTTGAAGCTCCCGTGCGCCAGCGCTCCTATCTTTAGTGGTTTTGAAGGTTTTGGCACGCTCAACCCCCTCCAACCCATTGCATCGGCAATCTTTTTCCTTGCCCTCCCACGCCATGGCTCGTCCAGGTACGTCGTAGAACGATGCAGCAAATACAATTCCACCACTGAAACGCTGTGGGACCTTATCCTTTTTTCTATCTCGAACGAGCTGAAAGTGGCATCGCCGAGGAGATACACGGTCCGAAAAATCTCTGCTTGAGGGGAGTTCAGATCGTCCCCCGGCGGCTTGGTAAGACGGCTTCCCCCGGCGAGCCTCCGGGCCCTCGCCCAAAGTCTCCGCCCGGGAGGGCGGTTCAAGGAAGAACGGGGCAACGCAGGGCGCTCTCGCCCCAGCCACCTGTGCACATGCGGGGCGTTTAGCTCCGGCTGGGCTTCCTTTTGCAACAACATTTCCGCTACCGCTGCGTCTAACCTATCTCGGAACAGTCGGAAAACCACCGGCGCGAATTCAAAAAACGAGCCTGTTTTTCGCCACCACTTGATGGCAGGCTCCACGTGAACCATGCCAACTTGTCTGAACTTCCGGACCCTAGAAGCCTCCCTGGCGGCCACCGAATTAGTGCACATTCCAACGTACGCTGCGTTCATTTTTGCTGAAAGCTTCACGTACACCCCTACGGGCCCACTGAAATATGCAAAACTGTAACTAAAGAAATTCACCCCTGCCCTTTTCAAACGCGTGGCCCAGCTACGATGCCATTGGGACCGGCTGCTGGCAAACAAGCCGATCAGACTTCTACCCCAGACCCACAGGACTGCGCTAGCCGCTTTTCCCACCTCACCGGGCCTAGCAGGATTCTGCCGCAAACCCCGGTAAAGCAAAGAACAAAAATGGCACACCATCCTATGAATATGAACCCCTTCATCCGACCTACTCGGCAAACTCACCTCTCCTACAGACCTGCGCCCCATGCGCTTCCCCTCCACTCACTCGGCGCACACCACGGCCGCGGCCAGCAGCCGCATCATGTGCCCGTAGTCGGTCTTGCTGTTACCCCCGAACGTCTTGGGAGGGACCCCCCACTCGACCAGGAGCTCCCCGACCCGGTCGTGCAACGTCGCCTCTTCGATCTGACTCTTTGCCAGTGCCCGGAACTTTTCTTGCAGCTTTTTTCCTAGCTCCTCTGCCTTTTTCGCTTTTTCCCCTTCCAGCCCCAAGCCCTTGATCTTCCCGTCGATGTGCGCCTTCTTGAAGCACGTCACCCCCGATGCCCTGAGCACTTTTGTCTTTCCCCCTCGCGAATACGGCATCAGCTCTTGGTCCAAGTCCACTTTCTGCTCTTCGCCTTCCTCCTCCTCCTCCTCATCCTCATCGTCGTCTTCTTTCTTCCCTTTCCTCCCACCCTTCTTCAACTCCGTGTTCTCCTTCTCTAGACGGTCTATTGTGGCCTGCATCTTTTTCAACTCGCCGTCTACTGGGCCCTCTCCGAACCCCTGCCTCTCCCACAACATTTTGACGATTCCCTTAGCCAGGTCATTAGACACCTCTCTCTTATACTCCTTTTCATCTGTCTTCAAGCCCTTCTCCTTCGCAATCTTGGTAAAGAGCGCCTCTAAGTTTAGTTGGATGGGGGCCGAGCGATCCCGAATCTCGAAAAGCACGGAGTGGATCAGGGCGTGCTCGAACGAGTTCCGGCAAGCTTCTAGTATGATGAACTTCCCATTGGAAACCAACCTCATTGCATAGTCATTTTCCTTTTTGTAGAGGTAATCGACAAGCTTCACGCCAAACGGATCGGTCAGGGCGGTGCCCCTTTCATCGGACCATTTTGTTTTCGTGATGCTCTTAGGTATCTTCATCCCGTAGTGCTCTGTCACGTCGTGGTGTGAGTCGTCTGGAATCAACCCCGATGCCCTGCCACGCCCGTCCATCCTCGCCACTCCTTTACTGCCGCCCCCTTCCTCACCTCCTCCCTTCTGCTCGCGCCTGCCTTTCTTTGGGTCGGGACTTCCGGCCGTCGGCGTCCGATCCTCAGACCTTCTGGCACTCCTGGTCCTGTCCCTCTCCTTGCGCTTCGCTGGAGTGGGCGTGGCGCCCCGGGACGGCGCCTGCTTCCTCTCCTTCCTGCCGCCCTTCTCCGTTGGACTCGAAGTCCCTGGAGCCTGGTCGCGGTGCCGATCCTTCTCCTCCTTACCTCCCTTTTCCTCTTTCGTCTTCTTATCTGGTCGGCCCCTTTCCCCCGTGACGACCGACCACGCGGCGTGTCCTTCTCCTTGGACTTCACTGGCAGGTGAACGGAGCGATCCTTCCCTTTCTCTTGCTCCTTGTCTTTATCTTTCCCTTTGCGGTGCCGAACCTCCTCTGACCTGGTTCTCTGCTTCCTTTCCTCCTCGCGGCCCCTCCTCGACCTCCCCCTCGACTTCGACCTCGACCTCACTCTGGACCTCGACCTCCTCCGGTACCCCCCGCGCCCGTCAGCACTCCTATCCGTGTCGCGCACGCGCCCGGGCGACCTCCGTGATCGCTCCTCTGGCTGCCTGTCCCTGGCGGTGTCCCGGGCGACGCCCGCCTTTTCGGCCCACCCTTTCCCGCCGCTGGCGCAACCCGCCTTGCCTCCTCCGGGCCACCCGCCGCCTTTGATCGGAGTCCACGCCGAGGGCTGCCAAGTCGCCCCGCCCGCCCCGACTCCCGGCGGCGGCGCGGGCAGGCCAAACACTACCCCGCCCTTTCCTTGTTGATGCCACTGGGCCCCTTTTCCTCCGCGGTGAGGATGCCACTCCATGGCCCCGTGGGATCTTCGGCGCTGCCCAAACTACTGGCAACAGCCGTTGGGGAAAACCGCCGCGGGGCCCTTCCGAGCCCAAGCGCCTACGAACGACGAGAAAATCAAGAGCCTGACCCCGATCGGTGCGCTCACCTGCCACCCCCCTTCAGACCTCAACTCCTGTCGGTCTGACCCCCGCCCCCTTCCTCTTCCTCTGCCCCCCCCCCCACCACCACCCATTCCCCCCACCCACCCATCATCCTCTCCCTCAACATCTTAAACACTTATTCAGGCTAATATTCCTCTTGCCCCCCGCTTTTCCTTCCGTTCCCTTTCCGTGGCATTGTGACCGAATCATGGCAAAGTCGTTTTTCTTGTAACATTAAGTCATTCACTTTTTGCTGAGTCGATTGTTGAAGTGTCGGCCGCCGAAGCGGTTCTTGGGCCCTCGCGGGTGTTGCGAAGGAGGGCCCAGGACCCCCGCGAGCGGGGGCCCGAACACACTTGAAGAGTGCCGGAGGCACGAAATCTCGGTCGTGACGCACATCGTGCCCACAATGACGACGGCCCGAGAAGCTTACCTACTCGTGCAACATCCGTCTCTCCACTGCTCCTATGGACCCCGGCTTTTCGCATGAGAGGTACTCCCAGCCATTGATATGCAAGCATGAGTAGGTTAGCTCCCGCCGACGCAAGCTGTGGGAACCCCAGCCGGCCGGGTCACCGTCACCACATTTCCCCCCAACATGGCTTGGCTGCATCATCCCAGACCCACCTACCCGATGACGATGGTCCCGTATGCACGATGTGCGCGCACACACAAAAACGCACCCCCCCCTTTTTTTTCCGGTGTTCCGATGCCCCCCTTCTTCAACTAAGTCTTGGAATCAAAGTCTTAGTGGCTGGCGCTGCCGGCGGCCACTGCGCCGCCCCCCACGCACCACCGGTTGAGCAGGGGCTGCCCTGATGGGTCGTGGCAGCTTCAAGTCTAAGACTAAGTCATAAACTAAGTCGAACGACACTCACGAACAACACTAAGTCAGAAGCTGAGTCGGCAACGCCATTAAAGTCTGAACCAAGTCGTCCCTGAGTCGGCTTGGCCGCCAAAGCCGCCACTAAGTCGAAGCTGAGTCGGCGCCGCCTTTGAAGTCTGAGCTAAGTCTGTATTTTTGTTTCTTCTTCTTCTCCGTCGCTAACGCCCAGCAGGCTTCTTTTCGCCAGGGAAACGCCCCCGCCCCCCCGAGTGATGACGTAAAATAATACGCGGTGGATAAACAACAACAGCCAAATAAGGAACAACATAAGATTGACATGCACGTGCGGGTACGCGGTGGATAAACAACAACAGCCAAAGAAGGAACAACATAAGATTGACATGCACGTGCTGCTGGCTTGTACTTCGGCTGCCATTGAGTGCTCTAACTCTACAGTGCTTTCTGGGGTACGAGCAAGCAAGCATATAAGAAACGTTTAAGCTCATGAGTCTACACATTCACACGATGACACGCCGGGCGCGTTACATGCTCAAAGACGCTCCTACTCGTGCATCGCTTCTATCCCACCTCGTGGGATTGTTAACTTTCACCATCCTGTCGTCCCCCATCCCCTCTCCTCGTCCACATCTGGAGATTCGGGCCGTCTTCCAATGGCCCTGGCTTTTACAAGCGCGCCTCCACCCTCGGCGCCATCCAACGCGGCTGCAGCAAAAGAGCGGCCCCTTGGATACAGGGGTTGCCTCACACACACACACACAAACACCCTCACTCACTCGCTCTCGTCTCCACACACACACACACACACACGCACACACACACACACACACATACATACACACATACACACACACGACCTGGCCGCTTTGGGCGAGCCTTTGCCATTCCGGCCGGGCTGCCGCAGGCGCATCCCGCGCGTGGCCCTCAGATGTGGGGGCCATGTTGGGCTTTTTTGGAGCGATCTTGTGGTGTCCTTGGCGTCTGTTGGACCATTTTGGGGGCATTTTGGGGGCCTCTTTGTCTTTCTTAGGGCTTTCTGGTGGGCCCCTAGGGCGGCGCCCAGGAGCAAAACCTATTCTGATTGGAACTTGCTGGGGTATTCTTCGGCCGGGGATCCCCGGGGGCGGCCCCGCGCGTGCGAATTAGAAATGTCTGAACCAGTCACCGGAGATCTTAGCACGTCTCCGGCCCGTTGGGCTGGCGAATTCACACTCATACGCTTATACTTCCTCCCTCCTCCCTCACCGCTCCTTACGGCTCACCCGAGAGGTACTTCCATCCCAAGGAAACCGGCTTCAGGGACCTCGGTTGTGGCGGCGCATACGACGGCCAGGGTGGTGGCTGGGGACCCCAGGACTTGCTGCTGCTGCTGCTGCTGCCGCCGCCGCCGCCGCCGCCGCTGCTGCTGCTGCTGCTGCTGCTGCTGCTGCTGCTGCTTCTCTCCCCCTTGTGTGTCTTCGAATGACCGAGGCCTGGGATTGTTTTGGCCCTTTTGCGCCCTTTGATGCCTTTGAGGGCCACGGGGACTACCTCCTCCTCGACCACCACCTCCTCCTCTTCGTCCTCCTCGTCGTCGTCGTCGTTCTCTTCCTCCTCCTCCTCCTCCTCCTTCTCCTCCTCCTCCTCCTCCTCCTCCTCCTCCTCCTCCTCCTCCCCGTGGGCCCTCTCATCTGGGCGTCGCGGCAAGCACGGCCGGCGTTTCTGCCCTGCTTCGGGTCTCGGTGGCTCCACGGATCGATTTGGAGAGATCCCGTGGCAAGGTGGGTTTGGCCGCTATTTACTGGCAGCGGCGCGCTTTCTTTCACGACGTCGGATCCGAGTACCCGCCAGCCCACCCGCGCCCCCATACGGGGCGTGTAGGTTTATCCCGCTCCAGCTTTGAGGAGAAGAAAGGCGGCAGAGGCGGCGGTGGCGGCGGCCGAGGGGGCGGCGGCGGCAAGGGCAGCGGCGGGGGCGCCCGGGGCTGGGGGGAACAACGAGATACCGATACCGCCTCTCCCGGGTTGCGTTCCGATCAGGGCTCAGGGGCGAATCCAGCCGTGGCGACGGGGGCCCCCCCCCAGAAGGCCCAGAAGGGCGAAGACGAGGGAGGGGTGTCGATGTTGGCGCGCTTCTCCTCCGACAGGCGGCGGCGGCCGAGGCGGCGGAGGCGGCGGCGGCAGCTGGGGCGGCGGCAGGGGCGGCAGGGGCGGCAGGGGCCGGCGCTGAGGCGCCGCGCGCCGCCAGGGGCGCCTCCGCGGCGGCCGCCCCGCCGCGCCGGGTGCCGCGCGCGAAGTGCGGCGGGCGCCCTGGGCGGCACGGGCGCCCCTCCGCGCCGCGGCGGCCCCCGGGGCGCCGCCCTACGGCTGGCGCCTCGGGCGCCGCGCGGCGGCGCCGGCCGGGCGGGCGGCGAGCCGCCGCCGCGCCGCGCCGCGGCGGGGCGGCCTCGGCCAGCTCGTCGGTGCGCCGGTTGCCGTGCGGCGGGCGCGCGCAGAGAAAGGTCGCCTCGTGCTTTTCGTCGCCTCTTGAGGTCCCCCCCTTCGTGGTTTTCGTCGCCAAGCTTGTGCTCCCTGGAGGGGCTGGCGGGCTCGTCGTCGTCGTGGTCCCCCCCCCTCATGGTTTTCGTAGCCTATTGGGGTCCCTCGAGCGTCGGGGGCCCGTTCGCCCCGCCGCCGCTGCGGCCGGGCGCGGCTCGGCAGCCTGGCCAGGATGGGCCCCTGGAGGCGTCCGGGGGGGTGTTGTTGCGATTCTGGCCGGGTGCTGGGAAGGCACCGGGCTTTTCTCAGAGGCCTGCCGTCTTCCAAGGGGCTTGGCTGTCTCGAGACGCCCGTTTTGATACGCACCACGTGCAGTGCTCAAACCGTCCGTGTCAACACGTTGCGTGTTGGCTCAGCGTATTGGCCCACATTTGGGCTAACGCATCGCGTCAGACCTACGTTTTCACTCTGTTGGGCTCCGTCTCAATACGCTACGTGTCGTGTGTTGCGTATCGGGGCAGCTAAGCCAAGAGGCGCTCTGAAAAACCTCTGAGACTGGCCTCTTGTGAAGCCCTGTCTGCTTAGGAGGCCGCGCCCCCCCTGGCCCTACCCTGTTAGTGCGCTGCGGAATGCGGCACGGGATTTCTCAGGGAGCCAGCGCATGCTTTATAAGGCGACAGTGGGCCCCAACCAAGCCAAAACGGACGGGACTGCCCAGGCTGGGCCACGCTGCGCGGCGCTGTAGGCCGCGGGGGAGGCTGGAGCCTCAGCGGGCTTGCCTTCCCGTGCACTAGCCACTCGCAGCCCCGACTAATGAGCCCTACTAGCCTTGTGCCTCTAACTTCGATTCCCAACACTAGCGTCTCCCACTCGCCCGCCATGCCACAGTGTCGGCTCCCCATGCTAGCCTGCTAGCCCCACTATGCTTTGTCTCTGAAGCCCCAGTAGTCCTCTGTGCCGCCAGCGTTGGTTCCCGACACTCGCCCGTCCTAGCCCCACTGGAGCCGCCGGCGTCGGTTCCTGACACTCGCCCCTCTTGGCACGATCAGCCCGGCGTGCCACCGACGTTGGTTCCCCACACAAGTCCCGCATCGATTTCTGGAACGACCGCCGCCCAGTAGCCCTTCTTAGCCTGGATAACCCGACGTGCCGCCAACTTCGGTTGCCGAAGCTCGCCTCCGTATGCTGTTTCGCTGTGGCCCGCCAAAGCCGGCTCCCGACGCTGGCAGCCACAGTCTGGCTATCCTGTGCTGCCACCGTTGAATTCCGACGCCAGCCTTCATCATCAGCATTCTCGCTAGGCGCTCGTGCTATGGATGTCGGTTCCTGGCGCTAGCTCCCCTGGCCCCACCAGTCGAGCCCGCGCTGCGAACGTCGGTTCTCGACATGAGCCCCAGCAGGCCCTGATCCACGGCAGCGTCTGTTCCCGACACTCGCCATCCTGGTTCTGGGTGCCGCCAGCGCTGGTTCCTGGCGCTGGCCCCCCGCCAGGTCCCGTGGTCGGGGGCCCCCACCGTGTGGTGAGACGGTGGGGGCTCGGGGTGGCCGCACGGTTTGTTGCTGTTCGAGGATGTCCTGGGCGACTGGAACCCTCAACGTGCCACCAAGCTCGGTTCCCATCACCGGCCCCTTTCCCAGCTTCGCCGAACGCTGTTTGGGGCCCACCCGCCAGTATCACCTCTTCTGAGGAGTGTGAGGCCGAGGGGCTCCGTGTGTTAAACCATTAAGCTTTTCCGTGGGAGTTTGAGGAGGGGAGGCGGAGGAGGAGGAGGGACCCGTTCCCTGAGGCGCCACCAGTCTCCCAGCGCCTACAGCGTGCAGACTATTGAGCAAGAGCCCTGAACGTGCGGCGGACAACCTCAGCCGACCTTGAAGCTATTGTCGCCCCAGTCGTGTCGAGAAGAGGTCTCGAGCACGCAAATCGTTGAAGGTGGTCGGAGGAGGAGGAGGCGGAGAAGGAGGAGGAGGAGGAGGTTGAAGCGAGGATTTGTTGGGCAATCCCCTCTTCATTTCCCCCGTGGTTTTGACGCCCCCTGGTTCTACGAACGATATCCTCGTGTGGTCTCCCCGCACGGCCCCAAGTATGGTCCGCCCAGCTGGTTCCCCCAATGTGGTCCCCTCGTGCTGGCCCCTCGCGTGGCTCAGAACTTGCCATGATCCCCCACTCCATGCTCGCCCGTGGACAAATCGAGACCACTGGGCGACCCCGTATCACTCTGAGATTCGGTTTGTCGGCTCGTCTGGCCTCCTGACCACCTCCGCCACCTCCTCGTCGTCATCACCACCATTATCATTATCATCGCCGTCGGTCGTCGTCGTCGTCGTCGTCGTCGTCGTCGTCGTCGTCAGCAGCAGCAGCATCATCATCAGCATCATCCTGTTCCTCCCTTCTCCATCGTGGCTCATCTCTCCTCCCATCTTCCTTCTGATCGCCCTCCCCATTATCCTTCTCCTCCTCCTGATCCTCGTCATCACCATCACCATCACTATCACCATCACCAGCACCAGCACCAGCACCAGCACCAGCACCAGCACCAGCACCGTCATCATCATCATCATCATCATCATCATCATCATCAGCATCATCATCATCATCATCATCATCAGCAGCAGCAGCAGCAGCAGCATCATCATCACCATCACCATCACCACCACCACCATCACCATCACCAGCCACCTCCCCCTCCTCCTCCTCCTCCTCCTCCTCCTCCTCCTCCTCCTCCTCCTCCTCCTCCTCCTCCTCCTCCTCCTCCTCCTCCTCCCCCCCCAGACGCTCCAACCTCCTCCTCCTCCTCCTCATTCTCGTCGTCAGCATCAGTAGCCATTTTGGCTCAAGCCAGTTTTGCCCAGGGCCCGATTCTCGCGCTCCCGCCCGACAGGCTCCCGCCGTGGTTCGATCATTCGCTGCCATGCGCGCGGACAGGAGCCCGTTCTTGCCGCTCCGGCTTCCTCTCGAAAGCGACTGCGAGCCAGGAGAGGTCGCCCCCGCGCGGGCCCCGCGCGCGCCGCACGCGCAGCGCGCTCGGGCCGCGGCGGCAGCGCTGTCGGCGGCTGCGGCGGCGCTGGCTCTGCTGGCTGTGGCTTGGCGCGCGGGGCCCTCCACGGGGGCCGCGACTCTTGCCTCGCCTGAGGCCATCATTGTTGAGGCCGCCAGCGCGGATGCCAACGAATCAGCGGATCCTGACGAGAGCGACCCGTGCTCGCAGACCGGGGCGTCCTGCGCAGTTTCCAAGTGCTGCTCTGAGCCAGGCTCGAAGTGCTACAAGAAGAACGACTACTGGTTCGCGTGCAACCAAACCTGCAACCCATACTACATGTGGAAGGACGGCGGCTGGGCCAAGACAAACGAGACAGTCTGGGATTGCGAGGAGGTTCGGCCGCCTTGCACGCCTAACGGAGAGTCTTGCGCACTTTCCAAGTGCTGCTCTGAGCCAGGCATGAAGTGCTACAAGAAGAACGAGTATTGGAGCTCGTGCAATCAAACTTGCAACCCAAACTATTTGTGGATGGAGACCGGCTGGGTCAAGACGAACGAGACAGTTTGGGACTGCGAGGTCATCACTATCGATAGTACCGATGTTTCGACTGACTCCGATGCTGGTAATGCTGCTGATGCCGTTGCTTCGACAGACTTCGAGTGCTCGCCAAACGGGGAGTCTTGCGCACAGACCATGTGCTGCTCCGAGCCTGGCGCAAAGTGCTACAAGAAGAATGACCATTGGAGTTCGTGCAACCAAACTTGCGACCCTTTCAGTTTGTGGGAGGTGGACCGCTGGGTGGTGACGAACGAGACAGTCTGGGACTGCGAGGAGGTTCGGCCGCCGTGCACGCAGAACGGGGCGTCTTGCGCACTTTCCCAGTGCTGCTCTGAGCCAGGCGCGAAGTGCTACAAGAAGAACGATTACTGGAGCTCGTGCAATCAAACTTGCAACCCAAACTACTTGTGGATGGAGACAGGCTGGGTCAAGACGGACGACACACACTGGGACTGCGAGGACCTCACCGTGAGTCCTGTCGAATCAGCGGATCCCATCGCTGATGCAGAAGCCGAGGACGAGAAAGGCACGTGCTCGCAGGATGGGGCGTCCTGCGCACTTTCCCAATGCTGTTCTGAGCCCGGCTCGAAGTGCTACAAGAAGAACGACTACTGGAGTTCGTGCAACCAAACCTGCAACCCGTACTACATGTGGAAGGACGGCGGTTGGGTCGAGACGAACGAGACAGTCTGGGACTGCGAGGAGGTTCGGCCGCCTTGCTCGCAAGCCGGGGAGTCTTGCGCACTTACACAGTGTTGTTCTGAGCCAGGCGCAAGTTGCTACAAGAAAAACGACTACTGGTTCGCGTGCAACCTGACTTGCGACCCCAATTCGATGTGGATGGAGGACCGCTGGGTCAAGACGAACGAAACAGTCTGGGACTGCGGGGTCATCGCTATCGAAAGTACTGATAATGCCACCGATGCCGCTGATACCGATGCTCCGGCAGACTCCGCGAGCAGCTCCGATGCCTCGACAGCCTCCGCCTGCTCTCAGAACGGGGAGTCTTGCGCACAGACCATGTGCTGCTCCGAGCCTGGCGCAAAGTGCTACAAGAAGAATGACCATTGGAGTTCGTGCAACCAAACTTGCGACCCTTTCAGTTTGTGGGAGGTGGACCGCTGGGTGGTGACGAACGAGACAGTCTGGGACTGC